TGGGTGTCAGAATATAGCGCGACAAATATCGATCGATATCGAAGGTGAATTGCGAATTGGCGGCAAGATTGAGACCGTTGTCTGCAATTGCACATAAATTGGTAAATCTCGCAAACTCATCAGTTTAATCATGTAAACACACCTACAGTACAGTCTGTCCCGGTGTAACTCGTCCGCGAACAATCACATGTAACATCCGTGTTTTCTCGCCAAGCCACAGAGCAATGCCCATTGTTCTTACAATCTAACGAGCTACATCCTAACTCGCATCCAGTGCGGACGAGTTCTACAGTATATGGACAGATTAGCATAATCAATCAATAATCGATCGTATTGTGACGTCACCAACTCGGATCATTCGGTCGATATCCATGTTGTGTATGACGCAAATCAACCATTTCACCACCAATTCGTAAACCACGTAGACAACCGAGCAGATCCGGCACTGCACACTGATAGATTGGCCGAAGAACCATCGAACCGTCTTAATTAATAATAAATTTTTCCACTGTGATTTTTTTTCTTCGAGGTGAATTTCCTCTTACCATTTGATGGGATTTCTCGCTCGATTCCACCTACAAATGTATAAACAAATGGTTTTGGATCGGTAGGAGAGTTCAATCCCACGGGAATAAAAACGATGTCTAAAAATGGACGAGTTCTCTGAGTACGGTTTTTGTCAAAAAAGAAACGGCACCTGTGAAAACATGCACAAATTTCTGAACGGGATTTGTAGCGAGTTTTCTTTGCGCATGAATGGTACATGCATCGTTGTCAACAGTTAATGTCGATGATTCGCTCGTGTGTTCTATGGTTATCCGAAACAAGAGTGATTTTTTTGCATAAAAGTAAGTAAGAATGACTTCAGTGCTGTGATTGATCATGCTGTATGCGACCAATCACAGCAAACCGCTGTCGAAGAGGTTTTTTGAATGTTTAGCGGAAATAAATCGACTAACCTGTATCCACCTCATATCACCGTATTCTGTTCCGGGATGTGCTCGTACCGTACACGAATGAACGGTGCCTTCGTTATTCAGCGACAGAGTTAGGTTAACTTCTTCAGACAGGTGAAGCTGAAATTAATCTGCTGAAGAGTTGACTACACGCGAATGCACTCAAAAGAGGTAAACTTAGTATATTGTTGCATCAATCGTGAGTGAGGAAAGTATATGTTATGGGGTTTCTCTGCTAATCTATGACAAAATACATAATGAGAAATAGGCTGCTTTCCAATCCCTAGTAGAAGAAGTAAATATGTAATTTTTCCCTTTTATGTATTTTGATGGTCTACCGCCTCATCGTGGTGCAGGGGTGACTCTGGGTGTCGAACTGCGAAGTACAGCGGAGGTTTATCCTCCAGCAGGGTCTCCCAAGC